ACCCAGGCGCCCCAACAATACTGGTTTAAAACCTCACTTAAGTTTTGCTGTTCTGCAAAAAGTCCAATAGGTATGGCTGTATTTTTACACCTGCACTGAATCTTCCCAAGTGTGCTCAGTTACGTCTTTCAGTGTGCTCTGGCTGTATCCAGCTGTATCCAGTATTCTCCTTTCCTGGTCCCTTTACAAGCAGAGACTTCAGGAGGCATGCCTTTGTAGGGAGAACGTTTCTCTCCGATGTCAGAATTAAGTGCCAATAAATATTTCAGCTGGCTACTTTCAGAGTTAGAATCCTGGCTTAGAACCATCATACAATTTGGAATTCATTTTACTTCTTCAAACAGAAATTAAAATTGAATTATTTTAAGTTTTGTATTTTGTTGTCTGTCAAACTTTCTAAAAACGATGTACCCAGTAACATGATGCTGGTTCAGTGCTTCAAGATGCCCTCCAATACCTACATTTTGATAAATATAGACTATAGGTGGGAAGTGCCAGACAGTTCTCCCTCCTAACCCTCGTTATCCACCGTGGCCTTAAGGGATTTCCAGCTGCTATGCACTTTCCCTCCCAAGTAGGACATGACAACCAGGGAAGGTCCTTCTTGGCACTAAGGAACAAAACCACCACATATGGAAAACCTGACTCTTGATCAGCAATGCTTTCAAAAAAGATCGTGATCAAAAAAGGGGAAAATGTGAAAATTAAAAGGAAACCTTGGTTAGAATGGAGTCAGGAAGCCAGCAGGGGGCGCTCCCACACCCTGCCAGTAGATAACTACTTAACTACCACCGCAGAAGGTAGGTAGGCTTCCCCCCACAGCCCAGCCAATGAGAGTCACTATCCTTCAAACTACGTTTCATCCATTGAAATTGTTTCTGGGGCACCTGGGTGGCTCAGACGTTAAGCGTCTGCCTTCGGCTCGGGTCATGATCCCGGAGTCCTGGGATCGAGCCCCACGTCGGGCTCCCTGCTCTGAAGGAAGCCTGCTTCTCCCTCTCCCACTCCCCCTGCTTGTGTTCCCTCTCTCGCTGTGTCTATCTCTGTCAAATGAATAAATAAAATCTTTAAAAAAAAAAAAAAAGAAATTTTGTTTCTAACAGCCCTCCCAACCTCCCCCTTTCCTCCATAAAAGAGTGTTCCTCTCCCTTGTTCTAGAGAATTGCCTATGGCTTTGGCATGGCTAGCTTGTCCCAAATTGCAATTCTTTGCCATTGCTAAATAAACCTATTTTTGCCAGTAAAAATAACTGGCAGTTTTATTTTTAAGGTTAACAATACACACATCCACATCCTCAGGTAGACTCTGTCTTCCTTCAAATTGTGGTATTTCCGCTTCAATAGGTATTTTTCAAAAAATGTTTTATTTTGCAGAGGTTTGTTCTCAACCAGAGATGACTTCACCACCCACCCCCCCCAGAACATGTGGCAGTGTCTGGAGATATTTCTCGATGTCTGGGGAGTGTGCTAGTGGCATCCAGTGGGATGCTACTCAACATCCTACAACAGGGCACGCCCCAGAACAAAGAATTCTCTAGCCCAAAGTGTCAACAGTGCTGAGGTTGAAAACCCTGTTCTACTGTACATATGCCCCAAAATACAATTAATGCCTTATTACTGGACATTTATAGTTCCCATTTTTTCACCATTAAAAACAGGGCTGTGATGAATACGCTGGTGTGGTGTTTTCCTACTAAGTCCAGAATCAAAGGAGATAGATGTGAAAATTCAGCGTACGCACAGGCCTCATGGTGGTCAGAGACAAGAGGGACTGTAGCTCAGCTGGGCTGTGCCCAGGTCACACAGGCCTCAGGGTCACTGCCACAGTACCCCGGGGACGTGTGGCCCAATGGAGGTCTTTAGGAAAGGGGGCTGCACTCCCACACCTGGCTGAGCAGGGCCTCAGGGGGGGGATGCATAAACCTTCAGGGCAGAGTGTCTGCCTGCATCTGATTTACTTCTGGCTTCACTGCTTTGTTACTCAAGAAGAAACTCAATGAGTCAGCTGTCAGCTGTGAGCAGGACCAGGCATACGGGAGCGAAGACCCACGGAAAACCTCAAGGGCTCAGTGTCATTAATGGCTCCATCCCCGAACCCCAATTCCTAACCAAAGTTGCCAGCAAGAAGGAAAACTCAAGCAGCCAAGAACTGATGTCCTCTCCTTTCTGAGATCCAGCAGGAAAATGGCGAGGTAGATAGAAACGGGAAAGAGCAAGCCACTGGCTTCCCCCTGGACAAGGCTTTCCAGTTACCTAGCTTGTTCACAGCCAGTATTTCACCTATGATGGACGCAGCCTGGGACTTGAGATTCTGCACGGCTGGTTTCTAGGAGACCCGCTCTCCCCCACCCTTATCAGTCTAGGATTCTGAGGTGCAGGGAAGGCAAGTATTACTACTCGTAACAAGACCCCGGCAACCACCACATACGACATTGGAACACACCAGCTACAGTGCCGGGCTCATCTCTGCTTGTGGCTTCTCTCCAGCCTTCATGACATGCCTGTAAAGAAGGCACTTCCACCTCAATTTTCAGAGTCAAGGCTGAGACTGGAGGCTGCCCAGTGAGGGCAGGGAACACAGCACCTGCAGAGCTGCCCAAGGCTGGGGGTGTGGGGCAAGTTGGTGCCCACCCCTGGGCCTGTTTTCCATGAGAAACATAAGCACAGTGGGTACCTGATGTGTGTCTACTCAGACTCCAGTCCCCTTTCCTGAGGCCTGAGAGCCCTACCCTGGACACCAAATGTCCCTGTATTAACTGAAAACCCCAAAGTTCACCAAAAACAGCCCAACACCATCCCATAAAATCAGTCAATTTGGGCGCTTGGGCCAAAGGGAGGCAGGAGCAAGTATACACAAGTGCCCCGGAAGGACAAAGGTTTTATGAGGACAAAACCCTGGCAGGGCAGGCCTCTCCTTCCCAACATAGATTCACCTGTGTCCCCCCCACCACACTCACCTCCTCACCAACCACCAAGCAGACCTCAAGGTTACTCAACATTGCACAGGGGGGGCATGCTACCATTATGCTGGGAGAACCCAACTCTGCATGACCCCAGCCCATCACTTAACCAGCTGTGTGACTGCGAGTATGGCTTTCATCAATCAACAACCCACGCTGAGCTCGTCCACTGTGCAGGCACGGTGCATGCAGCTGGAGGAACAGTGGAAAAATGACCCATTGTGGGCGGCAGGGGGAACACCTGGGTGGCTCAGTCGATGAGCGTCTGCCTTCGGCTCAGGTCATGATCCCAGGGTCCTGGGGTCGAGCCCTGCATCGGGCTCCCTGCTCGATGGGCAGCCTGCTTCTCCCTCTCCACCACTTATGCTTTCTCTAATGCTCTCGCTCTCTCAAATAAATAAAATCTTTAAAAAAAAAAAAAGAATGCTAAAATGTGGATGAACAGTACCGTTAACAGTAAAACAAAACAAAACAAACAAAAAAACCCAAAACCAAAAACCAAACA